AAATCTATCACACAAATTTGTATTTATCAACCCAAAATATAATAGCAATACAACACAACACCACATTTTGGTAGAAACATTTCTCTCACCAAAATGCAATGCAATAGCAACACAAATTTGTATTTATCAGCCAGGTTTTACTTCACTCCTACCATCGTGGACAAAAGCGTCCTCACCACCTCTTGATTGTCATAGCTAAACCCTAACCCCTACATCCCTAACCCTTGAATTCTAAGCATAAACCCTAAAATTAACATGTAAAATGCAGTTGGTCTGACACATGTCCTCCAACCAAGTAGGAGCCAAATATTTCCCCTCTTCTCTGGCCTAAAAGGCTAAAACCACTATACCAAATCTATACTATATTATAAAATGTAATTGTCCCTCATGTTGCTTTCCAACCCTTTTAAATATTTTATGGTTCTTTTGAATTTTTAAAAATAAAAAATTAAATATGGGACTATTTAGGCTGAGTTTGCAAGGAGTACAAATGCAAATATGTAGAGTGCAAAACCTTATATTTTGTATTATTTTGTATGTATTTACTCTATACATATTTGCATTTGTACTCCTTCCAAACTGAGCCTTAAACTCACCCACAAGCCACAACCAATTGAGTTAAGAAACTGATTGTAACTACTTCCGAATTCTGATCCATAAACTGTTCGCACATGCATACCAACAAGATGTTATTGTAGTGTACTGGGAACATCTCTCCATGAATAGCAAGGCATATATTCCCGAGACAGGATTTGCTCCTCACACAGGTGCCTCACACCAACCTCACACGCACATCCTACCATGCATTGGGCACATCTCCCGTACTTATAAGTTATTATTCACGGGAGATGTTCCCAATGCACGGTGGATGTGCCTATGAGGCTCCCATGTGTGAGGAGCAGATCCCAAGCTGATATTCCCAATGTGTGCCTGTCTTCTTTTGTCCTGTGGGTACTGAAATGGGAGCAGTTTGTGGGTAGGAGATCCTAGCTCCAATAGCACTCTAGATTTCCTGCTCACAACTCTCTACCCACAATCTACCCTACCTTGAATTGCAGTCACACATCCCCATCTTGTATTGTGAAATGTACAGCTGCAATTAGACTTGTTCATGGGTCGGGTCGGGTCGGGCCGGGCTTTTTTGACAAATCCCGAGCCCGGCCCGTAACACAGTCAAGCTTACTGTGTTAGGCCCGAGGTCAGGCCCGCGGGCCAAATTACATGACCAAGCCCGTTCGGGGTGCGGCCCGGGCCGGACCGGGCCATCGGGCTACCCGACCCATGAACAGGTCTTGCTGCAATGTAAAGTGGGAAGACAAAGTATGGCAATATCATCCGAATAGTGATGGCAATTTTCCCCGTTCCCAACGGGTACCCAGGCTCCCCGAACCGACGGGGTCGAGTATGGGGAGTACTTTGGCCGGGTCGGGGTCAGGGATGGGGTTATCACCCCCGGCCACCGTTGCCCGTCGGACTTCGGACGTCGGTACTCAAAACCTTAGTTCTTTGGCTTCCTTTTTCGTCTATCAACGTCGCAGGCCTACAACTCGGAAAGGTCCTCTCTATCTCTCTCTCTCAGTCTCTCTATTTTTGATTTCTAGTTTTTTGTGCTTTTGATTTCTTATTTTTGAAATCTCAAACAGATTACAAATACAGATCCAAATCTACTTAAGTACAAATTTGAATCTACTTGCAAGTCTAAAGTCTCTCTCTCTCATTTGGATATGAAGGGTAACTTTGCAAGTTCCTTTAAAACTCACAAGTCGCAACTTGGTAAGTATAGACTCATTTCTGGTTTATTGATTAATGCAAAGAGATAGCTACTAAACAAATTCTTCAAATCTCCCTATCCCTGCAAATTTTGTATTGCCAATGAGTACAAGTATGTACAAAATTTGCAGCAAGTATGTGTTCAAATCATAGTCAATGTGAATGGGATGCAAATTTTGTATATAGGTTGGGATTTGCACTACAACCAAATGGAGACTTTATTTGAAATTTAAATTGTTTTGTTTGTTTGGGGGAATAGAATTGGAAGTAAAATGATATGTTTCAGGTTCAGCCAGTGGTTACTGGCTTTCACGTAATCGGGGATTCGGGTCTCTGGCGGGGAATTCATCCCCATCGGGGTCGGGATGGAAGAGAATTCCTTTCCCCAACGGGGATCGGGCATGATTTGGAGCTCGGGGTCAGGGATGGGGAACGTAATCCTCACCCCGAACCTGCCCCATTGCCATTCCTACATCCAACTCACTCTCGCCAAGCCTCAAAGGTGGAAAACATGGAAAGCCACTGGATTCTCATGCTTACAGGGGATCCCTGTGGCAATATTTATATGTCTGACCCTTGTGCAAGATTGATTGTGAATCAACCACCATTACAATCTGGAACTTGCATTGGTTAGAAGAAGTGCATCTATTCGTAACAAGTATATATATTTCTCATGCCCGCATAGCTTCATCTCTTACATTCGTGACAACCATTTGAGGCCCCAAATTATGTATCTACATTAGTTCTGAGGTTTTGGTGGAGCCTCCTATCTATTGATCCAAGCCCCAATGGGAGAGATAAGAGACCGAATCAGCCCCCCGCAACATCCCACAACACATCCCCGCCGTGTGGGAACATCTCTTGATAATGACATCATCATTCTAGATATTATCATCGGGAGATATTCTCAATACATGGCAGGGGTGTGCTGTGGGGGGCTGATTTGAACTCGGAGAGATGACCTCCCTCAGATTGGTTAAAAGATCAACATGGATGGTGCGTTCAATTCAAAGCATCTTTTTCTTCTATGGGTGTGGAGATTAAATCAGCCCCCCACAACCACAAGACTTCGCCCCACAACGTCCCACATCACATCTCCGTTGTGTATTGGCAACATCTCTTGATGACGGTATCATCATTTTTGATACTATCATTGGGAGATGTTTCCAATACATGTCGGAGATGTGCCGTGTGGGCATGCAGATTTGAACTCGTGGTCGTGGGTGTGGTCCTCAAACATATCTTCAGGTTGCTTTTTAGAATTGGTATTTATAATCCCTCCCAAAGAAGCAGAGTTGTGAGGTCGTGGCTTGGAGGTATTCTCTCGCTCTTTGGAGGAGTCTAGATCTACTCCTCACAATTTGTCTTCGCCCCATATCAAGAACACCTCCCGTACTTGTATTTATTATTCTTGGAAAGATATTTCCAATACAGGATGGGATGTGGCTGTGAAGTGCGTTGTGTGAGGAGCAGATCTCAATTCTCTTTGGAGACCAAGCTCTCCTTCCTTATTTTGATGTGTTAGAAAGCACACATGTTTTCAAGGATGCCACTGTATATAGCACACAATGTTCAAAATATCGATACACCCGATATGCCCATCAATACTATTTTCTTTTATTTTTTTCTAAAACTAGTTCAGGGGGGGCTGGTTTAGGGCTCCTCCACCCCCTGAACCGGTCAAACCCCTAATACACCCACTATAGGGGCGCACCGGAGGGGTCCCAGAATGATATGTATCGGCCAATACGGGTTGATACGTGTTGATACTTTGAACCTTAATATCACATGCTCTTGCCCATCATGCGCTCTCTTTTCTTGCCACGAGCCATTTTGATATGATTATATCTCTTTTATTCATTGTTCATTATTCCTAAAGCAGTTACAAACTATTTGGAGCACAAAGCCCTTGCTCCTATATTAGGGATGGCAATTTTTTCTATGAAATTGGGGGTCCCACATCACCCTGTTTGGAATGGGGTTGGTTTCCCCTAATCTTAAACAGAGATGGAAGTTACATCTTTCCCCTCAGAATGCACCCCAAAAACATCCTCCAGCACATCCCAATCGTGTATTGGGAATATCTCCCAATGACAAGTATGGGAGATGTTCTGAATGCATGCTGAGATGTGCATGTGGGACATTTTTGGGGTGCAATTTGTGGGGAGCATATGTGAATTCAAAGAGATGGGGTGGTGCGGACATGAGGAAAATATTTTTTCCCCAAATTGAGGACTGGCAAGGATAGGATTTGCATATAATTCCTCAAATCCGATGATAGATTATTAAAATATTTCTAGATTTAATATTAATTTTTAAAATATCCTTAAATTTATCCCAAATTAAAAAAAACCCTAAAATCCCATAATCATATATTTAAAATACTCCAAAATTTCCATAATTCTATATCTAAAATATTTTTAAAATTTAATGTATTTATTAATAATTTATTCTAATTAAGTCAGGACGGGGAAGGATAACCCGCCCCGTTGCCATTCTTATCCTACGCTAACAACAACCACCCTTGCATGGACCATGGTGCAGAACTGCAGACGCAGGATGCTCCCCCAAAACCAATCCAATGAACCATCCATTCAGCTTATTCTACTTTTGTACCCGTTGTTGGTGCAAGCTTATTTTGTAGCAACCCGTCAACTATGGGTGTCAATGGATCAATTTGGACAGATTGGACAAACTAATAAGACATATTGGATTGGATCAATCCGGTCTAAAATATTTATTAGATTGGATTGGTCCTGATTCGTTCATAATAAATTTATATTGGATTGGGTTGGATTAGGCCAATATCTGATCTATTGATATAAGATAAGAATATAGGTCAATGGATTGGATTTGGGTTGAAACCAATCTAAATTAAAATGAATTTGAACGGATTCGGTTGAAACATTGAATTGGATCAGTCCAAAATGATTCAAAATATTCATTGGATTGGACTGGACCTATGCATTTATAATGGACTCACATTGATTGGACCAAATCCAGTCCAATTGACACCACTACCGCCAACCCGGTGGATTTTCTTAACATGGACTTCCCCAATTTAATCACACCGTAAATCAATCCACTCCACACTGTAATTACTAATTACAGCTCTCACGCTTTTTCCATCTTCCTTCTATTTATTTATACCTCTCTTTCCGTCTCTCTCCATTTCATCGCCAATACACCAATCTCTCTCTCTCTCTCTCTCTCTCTCCCTGCTCGATCGTATGGCTTTCGTGCCAGACGATCGAGCAAAATATGCAGCAGGCTATACCTCGGCCTTCCCGCCGCCGGTGTACTATCCTCCGGCATACCCAACAGGTGGCTACCCATACACTGCAGCAACGCCGAGATCTCCATCTCCACCTCCCCATGATGCCTGCAGCTCCTTCCTCCGCCGTATGATTATCCTGGTGATTGTCGTCACGGTCGTAATGGGTCTGATCAGCATCGCCGCGTGGTTTATCCTCCCCCCACAAGTCCCCGAGATCAGAGTCGAATCCTTCTCCGTATCCAACTTCAACCTCTCCAGTTCAATATTGACGGCCAAATGGGACGTAGCCATGAACGTGAACAACCCCAGCGAGAAAGTTGGTATGGTGTATGATCGCGTGCATACACTTGTGCTGTTCGGGGAGAGAATTCTGACTGCGAAATTTCTCCCGCCCTTCTACTTGGAGAAGAGGGATCAAACAACGCTGAATGTGAAGTTTACAGCGGATTCGGAGTACATGGAAGGCGTTCTGGACGAGATAATGCAGGTGGATCGGAGAAATGGGGAGATGTTATTCAATCTGAGGATGACCGCTTTTATTACGTTCAAGAACGGAATTTGGACGTTAAGCAAGCAGAGTGTGAGAGTTTACTGCGATTATTTGAGGGTTGGGCTCTCTAAGTCATCATCCGGAGCAGGAACGTTAATAGGTGGTCCAAGGGATTGCTTGGTTTATCTATAGCCTCTGGTTCTTCTTCCTCTTCTTTCTCCATGAAATGTCTTGGGTGGCAAATCTTTCTCTTTTAAATTTACAGTTAAATGGGACGTGCGTCATGCACGTAAAAGGAGAGAAAAAGAGAAAGAGAGATGGTAGAATGGGGAGAAGAAAATCAATAAATGAGAGATTCTTTTAGTTAATCAGAGAGAGTGAGAGTGAGAGAGTGAGAGAGAGAGAGATTGGGGAATTGTATATTATATTTGGTGATCTGGGACGTGAAGCCCACTGAATGAAATCAGTTTTTTTTTTTTTAATTTTTTTCTGGTACAAATGAGTTCATTCAAACAAACCTTAATTATCTGTTTTGTTTTGTTTTTTTGCCTAGCTAGTTAGTTGGTTCTTATAACCAACCACTACATTACAGTGTTATGTACTAGAGGATCAGATGCATGATTATTGAGAAAAATAGGGTAAAATCGATTAAATACAACAAAACGGTTGAAAAACATCCGCGAAATCAATACAAGTGAATTAATTCCCGAATACCAATATTTTAACTAATCTCCGGCATTCAATTAATGCATGATTTTTTCTAAAAAAAATCAAACAAAAACATCAACATCCTCAAAAATCATCCAAATTATGTCTCAAGCTCATTCCAGAATATGTTGGATTGCAGTTAAAATCTCGTACACTTGATACATCATGGATATGAGATTAGTCCATTACACAAGAGTAGAGGTGCAACTTCTCCGCTGAGCATGACATAGTTGAACATTTTCAAATTGGACAACCTGATTTGCACCCTTAGATAGGAGATTGCTTTGGGCTTAGGGTTTTTTTTGGTTGATTTGGTACATATGCCTTGATTTGTTGAAATATTGGTATGTTAATTGGATAATTAATATTCAACCATCTTAGGGAATTAATTTGATTTCCTAGATCTTTGGATTGATTTATTACATCATTTGGATGGGTTAAATTAAAGAAAAAAAAATCCTTGATGCATTATTTTAAGGGTTAAATAATTAAAGTACCTTGTGTTTTGATAAATAGAATTAGTGTACCCTATTTTCTAATGAATTACTTCAAATATCATTAGGTTTTTTGACAACGTGACAACTACATCTTTGTTAGTACTTAGTACACTCATTGGATTTCCGTTCGCACGTGACAGTAGTGTGTTGTTAGTCCAAGAATTTGGAACTGGGCTCTACTCAAACGCTGATAGGAACTAACTAGCCTTACCAGAGTCAGTTCCAAGTCGGTATTCTTTGATGTATTTTAATTCTTAGTTCAAAAATCTAAGTGAAAGAAGATGGTACTTTTATTGGAGTCAATAGAGCTAATTAAAATCCCTATAACAATTAATGTTTTAAAATGCAGAAGTTTGACGTGAAGTATTTCACCATCTAGAGGTAGTTGAGAATGTAAGAGACGTAATCCCTCTTTAAGAGAAGGGGGTTAGGAGAAAGGAGGAAGAAGGAGAGGAAAAAGAAGATGAAGGGGGATCTCATTTTTTTTTATTTTAATAAAAACCTTTTATATTAAAAAGATTAAGGGTGTATAATAATAGATTAATAGTTGAAAGGGGTCTTATGAATCCACCCCTTTCAACTCTCTTGCGGCTTTTTTTAAGGCTGTATTTGGTTTCAAAGAAAAAGTAGGGAAAGGAAGGGAAAGACAGGAAAATCTATACAAGGTTTGTAAAGATTTCCCTACATTTTCCTTCCTTTACCTACATTTTTCCTTCAAACCAAACATAGCCTAAAGGTTTGCAACTGATTAATCAGCTTAATGTGTCTAAGCTCATTCTTGAAGGAGATTTTAGCGTCATCTCACATGTTCTGTTGGGTACGTTTACCCACATCATCCGTTGGAATTGGAATTGGGATCTGCTCCTCACAGGCACATCTCACCGTGCATTGACTGAGGAGCGGATCCGGACTCCATCTGTTGACTGCTGTATTCTCTCTCTTACGGCTCAGTTTGGGAGGAATATAAATACAAATAGGGTTATCACACATGTGTTGTCTTCTGGCCACGAGGCTTTTTGATCTCATACCCCTCCTGTATTCATTATTAGTAAAGCCGTTACTAACCGTTGGAAGCACAAAGCCCTTACTCCCTGCACCAACAACAACAGCAATGAGCAACCCTTGCATTTGCATTAAGACGCAGGAGGCAGGATGCTCCTCCCAAACGAAAAATCCCATAAACCATCCACTCAGCTTATGCTACTTTTGTACGCGTTGGTGCGACGCTTATTTTATAGCAACCCCCGGTGGATTTTCTTAACATAGGTTTCCTTAATTAATCACACCGTAAATCAATCCACTCCACACTGTAATTACAGTTACCACTCTCTTTCCATCTTCCCTCTATTTATTTATACCCTTCTTTCTGTCTCTCTCCATTTCATCACCAATATACCAATCTCTCTCTCTCTCTCTCTGCTCGATCTATATTGCTTTCACGCCTGACGATCGAGCAAAACATGCAGCAGGCTATATCCCGGCCTCTGGCTTCCCACCGCCGGTGTACTATCCTCCGGCATACCCAACAGGTGGCTACCCATACACTGCAGCACCGCCGAGTTCTCCATGTCCACCTCTCCATGACGCCAACAGCTCCTTCTTCCTCCGTATGATTACCCTGATGGTTGTCCTTACGGTCATAATGGGTCTGACCAGCTTCGCCGCGTGGTTTACCCTCCGCCCACAGGTCCCCGAGATCAGAGTCGACTCCTTCTCTATCTCCAACTTCAACCTCTCCGATTCAATATTGACGGCCAAATGGGACGTAGCCATGAACGTGAACAACCCCAGCAAGAAACTTAGTTTGACCTATGACCGCGTGCATACATTTGTGCTGTTCGGGGAGAGAATTCTGACTGCGAAATTGCTCCCGCCCTTCTCCTTGGAGAAGAGGAATCAAACTACGCTGAGTGTGAAGTTGACAACGGAGTCGGAGTACATGGAAGGCGTTTGGCCGAGATAATGCAAGTGGATCGGAGCCATGGGGTGATGTTCTTCAATCTGAGAATGACCGCTTCTATTACATTCAAAAATGGAATTTGGGTGTCAAGAAATCAGCGTGTGAGAGTTTACTGCGATAATTTGAGGGTTGGGCTCTCTGGCTCATCATCAGGAGAAGAAACGTTTATAGGCGGTCCAAGGGAATGCTTGGTTTATCTATAGCCTCTGCTTCTTCTCCCTTTTCTTTCTTCATGAGACTTTGGCAAATCTTCCTTTAAAAGAAAGAGAGATGGTAGAATTAATGGAGAGAGATAGGGAGAGGAAATCAATAAAATGAGAGATTCTTTTAGTTCATCAGAGAGAGTAGAGTAGAGAGAGAGAGAGATTGGGAAATTATGTACTAAATTTGGTGATCTAGGCTTGAAGCCAACTGAATGAATTCAAAAAGAATTGATCAAAAAAAAATTCTGGTACAAATGAAGAGTTCAGAATTTTAAACAATCTTAATTATTTGTTGTGTTTTTTTTTGCCTAGTTGGGTGAACCCTCATAACCTACAACGTTAAAGTGTAATAATATACCAGAGGATCCGACGCATGATCAGTTGGGTCCCACTAGTGAGGGGTCCAACCATGAAGCCAGTCTATAATGTTCACCATATAATGTTGGCATGAGAAAAACATCTAATCTGCTTGAGACTGAGTCATGGTGTTAGATGACAACACACATATTTGAGTTGAAAATAATGGAGGATTCCAGTGAAAATTGTGGGCAGTTTACATAGTTGAACTCTTTCACAGTTATTTGGTATAAATGCCCCCGAGAGATCTTACAATCAGACTCTTTAGACCAGGTAGTATCAGATTGAATAAAGGAAAAAAGAAAAGTGAGCAGAGGAGCACCCTGCAATTGGCTATCAGAGAGCTTGAATTTCATTTGTCTGGGCTATGGCATTGAGAACTGTTTGGTCAATATGGCTCCAATGAAATTCAGCGGCCATTTGGAGGGTTTCACGTACGCTGTGGCTTTTGGCTTTGCGAGGTTATTGGGTCCATGTGAAAATCTTATGAGCAGCATTTGATAAAAGAAAACCTGAGAGCTAAAATATTGATCATCCTACAGTCAGTCATTCATGCGGGATGCGGCTCTCCAGTGAAGCCTTTTCTGGGAACTTGTCCAATGTAACTACTTACAAGCCCAGATAAAGCTAATTAAGCTTTCCAAACTAGGCCAACTAACTATTTGGTTTACATGCCAGAGGATTATTAGTAAGCCAAGCCCATAATGAAGATGGATGTTTCTTGATCTTTCATTAGACTTGATTGGGCTAGCTAAAATTAATCCACTGTACCCAGAGTCCATGGCTCCCACCATATTTTTCTTCTCTGAATTAAGTCTGAACAAGTGAATCGAACAATTAATTTTGATCAAGTACATGGATAACTCCTCCCAAGTCCTAAGTTCATCACTGCGTATATCCTAACCAGTTGCAGTAGGTCTGTCTGGATCGCAGTGTGAATATGGTTAATTAATTTGCTTCTTTCATGGATGCTTAACCGAATCTAACCTTGGTTGGGCCAGTCAGTCCTTGGATTGGTCCGGGGCCAATGATCCTGCATCCTGGTATGAGGGAAGTATCGTTCCACCCAAGCTACTACCCCTAGTCAAATGACTTAATTTCTTTCGCTTTGGGGCTATTCTAACAAGGCCAAACGATCTCGAGGAGAAATTTAGCTACTCTTATTGGAATAGCGCTGGGCTAAAACCATGAAATCACGACCTTTGATGAAATGCTGTGGCTCCATCTTACATCACCTTCATCAAATTCAAGGTGGGAGTAGCTGAATTTTGAGCAATGCATGATCTCTACTCATTTTTAACGTTCTCGATCTATATGTGAATCGGTTTAAACTGGTTGCTTTGTTTTCGTCACAACTCTCTCTCTCTCTCTCTCTCTCTCTCTCTCTCTCTCTCTCTCTCTCTGCTTGTCTGCATGTGTCTCTGGATAAATTTCTACAGAAGTTACGTACAAGGAAAAGGGAAGAGG